CCTGTTGCTCATAAATGAGCTGTATTGAATCCACAAAACCTATTCTCTCCCTTCAGAATCCGGGACATTTGCCGTAGGAGCGAGTGGCTGCGACCAGGAGGATATAACTGCCACCCAAATTGATGTAATGTATTGAAAGTCGCTCCCATCACATGATAGCAGGAGATTAGGGCACATAAGCCGTGGAAATCATATTCTGTGCTTTGTTTTAAAGGCAGAATGAAAAAACGAAATGAGTTTTTGACATCAAGTAGAATCAAATCTGTCCATTGAAGGCCAGGCCCCCAGGGCAAGGGGACTAGGGAACAAGTGACAATTAATATAGACCTGAGTTCAGTTCTGTTCTAACAGGAATATGCTTCAGTAACTAAGTGGCCATTTTTCTCATGTATAATGATGAAGCTTCACAACTATGCTTTCCTCTCTCATTATAAGGAAATTTGTAACACATTGTGCTTCGTGTGCTTGCACTGTAACCTTAAGCCTGATTATAGCTACTCTGTCCCAGGGCTCGCTGGACCGAGTCTATACCCACACCACTCCCAGTGGCTCCGGTTTCCCTGATGGGTCACACTGGACCTCTGTCCCGACAGCCACAATGCCCACGGCTGATGGGGGAAAGACCAGGACTGTTATAGACTCTCACTTGGATGCCAGGGTGCTGGAGCTGTCCGAGAGGGAACACCAGCAGAAAATGAGAGTGCTGCTGGTTAAGGAGCTGATGCTGGAGGACAAGCGGAAAGCCCTGAAGCAAAAAGAGAAGGCCTACAGATACAAGAAGAGGTACTACCAAACAAAACTTCAGAAGCTGGGGGCTGAGGTGCACTCCTCCAGTGATGAGGACTGACTGCTGTTTGTCAAAAGGCATTTTTTTTATAATGGTTATATAAAAAGAAACAAGCAACATCTATAATATACAAAGTTTTCTTAATGTTTTTTTTTTTATTATGACTGTTTTATGCAACATGCAGTGTTAACTTCAGGGTCCTGTCACGCTCTTTGCTGACAAATGTGCCGTTTCTTTAGGCCGTTTACAGCGCGTTCTGTAATACAGTAACCCCTTCACATTCTTACATTTGACATTTGTGATTTTGGTTATTCGTGAGTCGGCCAGTTTGGCAATTTGACATGCATAGTGTACAGTCCAGTGGTGTTTGTTTAGAAATTGGTAATGATATCATTCAGGCTGGCAGACTGGTTGAGGTTAGGGGGGGGGCAAAGTATTATTCACAAATATTCGCATTTACAGGAATCTTCCATTTTCCCTTGCAAATGTGAAGGGGTTACGGTCCTATACAGAAATTCCCTAATAATCAGGCTTTTCTTTTAAAACTACAATTATGCATTATTTTTACAAGCTACGGCGGAGTTAAATCCATCTGCTGTCTGCTGTCAGAGGCTATTGAGGAAACGCACCATTTAACAACCTCTCCACAGTAATGTTTTCCTGCAGCACTAATNGGAGTTAAATCCATCTGCTGTCTGCTGTCAGAGGCTATTGAGGAAACGCACCATTTAACAACCTCTCCACAGTAATGTTTTCCTGCAGCACTAATGCCAGGTCTAAGATGTAACACCGCATGGAAGTTTAACCAACAGAACACATTTGAGAGACGCCCTCAAGACTTTACTGCTTCGTCTCACGTAGAGAAAATCCTCTTATTATAAGATGACAAATCTAACACAGACTAACAGCTGCGTGACAGAAAAGGCTGTCTGTTGTTGGATGATTCTCTTGTTTTATGTTGATTTTTTAGGTTTTAATGTTAAAGTGCAATAATTTCAGGTGCCGAGTTTCTACTGAGGAAATACTGATATAACCACAAAGCAGTGGATAGACCAGCAGTATCCATGTTATTAACGGCATTTAATTTGATACATTTTGATATTGAGCGTTGATGTCCTTTTAAATAGCCTGTTTCCTTTATACACTGTGAAAACTTAGGCGGTCTTTACACTTGGTTTTAAAATGCATCTTGGGCAATCGGATCGCAAGTAGACCGACAAGACATATCACCTTTTGCACCTGTATCTATCATGCATCTCCAAAGTGTACAGCTGACTGTTTCTGTTCAGAATCTGCTACTGTCACACACAGTTATTGTGATGTCCTTGTCAGGAATGCATCATGATGCATTAGCGTTTACTAAAGATATGTGGTCAAATGCATGCCAGACCACTTCCGCACGCATCTTGATGGCTGGTTACGCTTGTAATTAGCACTGCGCTGCATTTTAAAGCCAAGTGTAAATGGGGCCTTACAGATGCCAATGTGTCTCTTGCTTCAGGTGACGCACTATCTGAAGGTGAGAACGTCATATGGAGAAATGGCTTTACGATAGTTGCTAGGATGTTGTTTTTGTGTTTGAAGTATTATCATCACAGAACCCCTCCATCTGTGTCTACGTGTGGTTTCCAGCGTTGTGTTAGATGTTATAGAGCAGTTTTTTGTGACTGGTTGCTGCTGGGGTAGTCCTGCTAATTTTTGGAAGAACGCTCGTCATTTTCAGGATCATGTAATTTCTGTGTTATGTAATATTGGCTTGAACAAACAAAACCATTTGAAGTGAAAACATATACTGTCGTAGCACAATGTTTCTCAAACCTGGCCTTGG